TATAATATAGTAATATGCTTATGTGCTTTCATAATATAATATACATTATATATATATAGATAAAGCAGAATAATATTATTTATATATATATATATATATAAAATAAGTATCACTGAGATATAATATAGGTATTATTAATATTTTAAATAAGTTTTTATTTTTATATTTTCTGTTTTCAATTTAATTTAATGTCATTAGTAATTCTGTTATGCGTTGTCGCTTTTATTAATTTAGTCTTTTAAATATATCTACATTTACATTTACATTTAGTCATTTAGCAGACGCTTTTATACAAAGCGACTTACAATTTATTTCAGTTTTAGTCTAATAAAAATATTTTTTAAATAAATACTATAGTTTAAAACGTTTTTGTTAGCTTTTTATAATATACTAATATGCTTATGTTCTTAAGTGCTTTCTTAATATAATATACATTATATATATATATATATATAGATAAAGCAGAATAATATTATTGATGATATATATATATATATATATATAAAATATAATATTTAAAATAAGTTTTTATTTTTATATTTTATATTTAATTTAATGTCAAGTTTGTAACTTAGTTGTGTCATTTTTAGTAGTTTTTCATATATATTTACTGCACTTATTAATTTTTTATTTCAGTTTTAGTTTTTAGTTATTTTAGTATGTCATGTTGAACCAAATTAGAACAAGAAATGATTTGACTTTATTTCAGCTAATGTGCATTTTATTTCAAGTAATGCAAATGTTGATGGTTTTAACGCCAGCTGCCGTTTTAGTTTTAGTGAACTACAATAAGCTTGCAGCATGCCGTAATAATGCGCTAGCTTCACTCTGTGGTGTCTCGTCAGGCTGCCGCTGTACCTGCTCTTCCTGTGCATCAGCATCATCTTCCTGCTGGTGAACCTGACCTGTGCTCTGCTGGTGAAGATGACGAAGGCCGACACAGAGACTGTAGTGCTGGTGCGCGTGGCCATCAACGACACTCTGTTTGTCCTCTGCGCCGTCTCTCTAGCACTGTGTCTCTATAAGATCGCCAAGATGTCTTTGGCCAACATCTACCTGGAGTCCAAGGTAATGAAACACAAATACACAAAGACCAATTAAAGCAGATGAAAGCTTGGGTTACACTGTACGGCAAGATTAAAGACAATATAAACATACTACAATATATACAGAAGAAGACAGGTGTGTGTGACTACGATCATTCATTCAGTTTAGATTGTAACTTCGGAGCGGATAACAAATTATTTGATCCAGATCGAGACTTCGAGAGTGTGTATCCCAAATCATTTGAATCAGAAAAAATGAATCATGGTTTTACTATAGCAAAAGTGTAGTAACCATGGTTTTTTTGTGGTTAATTTTTGTAAGAGATGTGATGCCAGGTTAAAAAAAGTTATACATTTGCACCTTAAGAGGACACATGGGGTAGCTAGGCAACTTTAAAGGTGACATATCATGAAAATCAGACTTTTCCAGGTTTTAAGTGCTATAATCAGGTCCCCGGTGCATCTACCAACCAAGGAAACGTGAAGAAGATTAACACAGTAACTTTGTTTTAGGAAGCCTTTTTCTGCAATCATCTGAGAAAACCAGCGCGTCTGATTTCGCTCCCTTGGTGACGTGGCAAAGCAATCTCATTATAATATTACCGCCCCTTAATCTGTAAGTTTGCACCCATGGTGCCGTTATTGTGTTTTCGCAAGCGACAGCGGTGTAGCAGCTCTAATGTCATGGCGAAAGTTTGAGCAAAACACACTAACTGTTCTGTGTTTGGCTGCACAGACGAGCACAGAACACTGTTTAGAGTCTCAGCCTCAGAGGAGACGACAGAGCAGAGGATTTATTAGACAATATAAACATACTACAATATATACAGAAGACGACAGGTGTGCCGTTATTGTGTTTTCGCAAGCGACAGCGGTGTAGCAGCTCTAATGTCATGGCGAAAGTTTGAGCAAAACACACTAACTGTTCTGTGTTTGGCTGCGCAGACGAGCACAGAACACTGTTTAGAGTCTCAGCCTCAGAGGAGACGACAGAGCAAATGATTTATTGATTTATTTACTGTATATTCCTGCTGCCACACAGATCTAAAATAAACATGCCATTTATTTCCCAGCAGTTTACCTTCACAGACATAACCCACTGTTTTTGTAACTCGTGTGTGTTTTTAAGGTAAACTTGTGTGTGAAAGAGAACTTAGTTTAGTGCTCACATGCTGTGACAGCCGCTTTCTGTGCGTGTGCTTCAGATGTGTGCGCTCAGAAAACCGTATATCAGAAGTTTAAACTCATCTGGTTTAAAACGCATGATTTCAGCGCGATAAACATGATAATCAGAACCAAAACAGATGTTTTTAGCAGGTTCGAGCTGTAATGGTGCAGCTCTATTCTGTAAAAGGGGCGGGGAGCAGCAGTTCATTTGCATTTAAAGAGACAGGCCTGAAAAACAGCGTGTTTCTGCTTCCCCTGAAAATAGGTATTTTCAAAATGATATAATAAATGATCTGTGGAGTATTTTGAGCCGAAACTTCACAGACACATTCTGGGGACACCAGACTTATATTACATATTGTAAAAAGGGGCATAATATGTCTCCTTTAAGAATTTAAACACCCATGGAGTGGAATAATCCCTGTTCAAAAACTGTATATTTTCTTCACTCTAAAATGAATTGGATGGTGTTTTGTACCAGAATTGAATCAGGTCTCATATTTTCTTTCCAGGGAACATCCGTGTGTCAAGTGACTATAATCGGAGCGACGGTGATCCTGCTGTACTCGTCCCGTGCGTGTTACAACCTAGTGGTGCTGGCACTGGCAAAAATCAAGAGCATCAACTCATTCGACTACGACTGGTACAACGTATCAGACCAGGTATGTTCAATGCAATTGTTTTGATAGAGGGAACGCAATACATGTTCAGTTTCAACATTATTTGTTCTTCAAACACTCCTCTTTAAAATAAAAAAGGTATCATCTATATACAAAAGTTTTTGACCACTGAAAATGTGTACAATTTACTCCTGAGATCAACATATCTCTGGATTTGAACCATATACACTCTTAAAAATAAAGGTGCTTCAAAGGTTCTTCAAGCGATGCCATAGAAGAACCTTTTTTTTTGGTTCAACAAAGAAGCATTCAGTCAAAGGTTCTTTAAAGAACCATCTCTTTCTTACCTTTTTATAATCTGAAGAACCTTCTTTCGCTACAAAGAACCTTTTGTGAAACAGAAAGGTTCTTCAGATGTTAAAGGTTCTTTATTGAGCCATTTGGACAAAAAGGTTCTTCTATGGCATCGTGAAGCAGCTTTATTTTTAAGAGCGTAAGGCCTTATAAATGAAGAGACTAAAAGAAAAGTTTTGTGAAAAACCAGTACCTAAAAGGATATTAAGATTAAGATACAGGAATGCAAACTTTGTGGAAAAACAGTCACCATAGGCATATAATTCAACAAAGATTGCTAAAATCAACAGATTTCGTGTGTTAAAATAACAATGTCATTTAGTCATTTTTACCATCTGGTAATTTGGCTCAAAAAAAATTTGGGGTCACCCTCCTCTGCAAAATAGTGGCTTATTCAGTAAATATTCATCCATGGCATTTAATATTTTGGCTTTCATTCCTATTCATATTTCTCTTTCTTCAGAAAAATATGAACAAAATAAAAAAATTGAGTTTGGGAAGTTTCTGGAATTTGGTTGATTTGACAGAATGAGCCTTTTAGTATTTTTAGTATGTCTTGATGGATTTGGCCATTTTGCTGAGTTTTGCAACCGCTGAAATTGTTTTTTCTCCAGGCAGATCTGAAGTCGATGTTGGGCGACGCTGGATATGTGGTTTTTGGGGTGATCCTGTTTGTTTGGGAGCTGCTACCCACTTCACTGGTGGTCTTCTTTTTCAGAGTCCGTAAGCCGGCTCAGGATCGAGTATGAGATTTATCATCTTTTAATGCACTTCCCAGTTCTTAATATACAATATTCAAATTACCATTCAAAAGTTTGGGGTCAATAAAAAAGTTATACTTTTACTCATCAAGGATGCATTAAATCAAAAGTGACAGTAAAGATAATCTTACAAAATAAATATTTCTAAGGATCATGTGCCACTGAAGACTGGAGTAATGATGCTGAAAATTCAGCCTTGCAACCACAGGAATAAATGACATTTTAACAGATATTCACAAAGAAAACGGCTATTTTAAATTGCAAAAATGTCACAATTTTTTTTTTATTTTCGATTAAATAAATGCAGCCTTGGTGCGCAGAAGAGATTGATTTCAAAAACATAAAGCACAAAAAATCATACCGACCCCAAACTTTTGAACGGTACATAATACATAAAATCAACAATATAATGCTGAAGACTCTCTCTTTGGCTTGTAGAGTGTGTCAGTGATCCCTGGCCACATGTTCTCATCTAGAGCTTATTTCTTTGACAACCCGCGGCGTTACGACAGCGATGATGATCTCGCGTGGAGTATCATCCCACAAAACATTCAAGCCAGGTACGACAGTCAAGTTTGGCATTCAGTCTTAAATGATTGAATCAACATATATAATAATCTACTCCATGCCTTCTCTCGTCTGATGGATAGTTTGAGGTTTTTATCCAGTAAAAGCTCTAAAAGTGTAATTGTATAAACATCCAGCTTCAGCTGGTGCTTCACTGTCAAATCTTTACTGATTTTAATCATGTAAATGTAAGAATAACTAGTAATATTTCCAGATGAACACTCACTGGACTGAAGCAACTTATTTTAACTTGATTATTTAGTGTATGTTACAGAGCCCGCACATGGCATGCAGGAAAAAAATTGTAGGCTAAATCGTGTGCACGATTTACTGTTTCGTTCCCTCGATTTACAAATTATGCTCACGATTTATAAATCGAGAGAACGGATTAGTCAATTGTGCGCACGACTTATAAATCGAGAGAACGGATTAGTCAATTGTGCGCACGACTTATAAATCGAGAGAACGGATTAGTCAATTGTGCGCACGATTTATAAATCGAGAGAACGGATTAGTCAATTGTGCGCACGATTTATAAATCGAGAGAACGGATACTTGAGGGTGAGCACAGTATTTTAATTTTTTGGTGAACTATTCCTTTAAGAAGCATGTGCTCTCTACTACAATAAACAGTAATGTTGTTCTTGCCTATAATATACTCATTCATATCTTTTTCTTTAGACACACACTGTAACTGCTCATCCATTATGAAAGAGTGTTGTTTTGCATCTGCTCGTGTCTAATGCCTCCATTCATTCAGACGTACAACAGAGCATTTGGGCTTATAGTGACGTGTGCAATCACAGCTAGCAAGAGTTACTCTGGTAAATTAAAGCTTCATACATAAACTCAAATCTGCA